GCAGAGGCATTTTTTTTCCTGGTTCGTTCGAAACACGCCCCATAATCACAGCTCTATGGAGCAGTATCAGACTCATATTCTGACTAGAAATGAGTCGGACTACGTCAGACTACCTTTAAGCACCATTCTGGAAATTTCCCCATCACCACGTTTTAACAGAACATGATGGGATTTAGCAGATTTGAGATTTAGAAAATGTGAGGACCAAGCAGCTGGTATTTTGTGCTTAGGCTTTCTGATCATCTCTCTGATATTCAGCCTCATTTGTTATTTTCTTATGCTGTCACACCTGGAGGCAGTGGGTTTAAAGTGGTTTCCCTCCAGTAACCTCATCAATTACTTTAGGTAACCTTACATCTAAAACAGGATATGTGTATATTAGAGAGTGAGTGGTTTATATAGTTACGTGTACCTACAGGGTTCTTATGGTATAACTAGATAAATATCATGACTTTTATACTTCAGTAACACACCTGGTGTTGGGCTTCCTCCAAGTTACCACCGGCCCACAGAGACAGACCGAGGCGATAACGAAGCTTTGCTTCATCTTCCCTCCGACCCAACTGCTCAGCCAGCCGCAGACCTGATGGAGAAGCACATCGAGGAGATCAGCCGCAGTTCGAGGACGCTCATCAAAGACTGCACCTCTCGTGACAACTGTTGCAGTACTGAAGCAAGCTCGACTGATGAGCCTGTGACGCTCGGATGCGTTCTTCATTTTCTCCCGCTGTTCTTTTTCTTCCTTCTTGATCAGCTCATTCAAATTCAAAGCTCACGTATTCTCTTGTCTTCAGTTTGTCCCAGACATGTTTGATCTTGCTGCTTGGCATGGAGCAGGCCGCCATGACAGGTTCTGTTTAGTTCTCATTAGAGCCGAATCTCATCAGATATAAAAAAACAGCAAACAAAAACCCACACCCCTGCCTCCTTGTGTTCGTCCCTCTGCAGGCATGCGATCCTCCGTGCTCCTGTTTTTCTTGGGAGTTAATTGGATGCACATTTCAGAATGTTTCCTCAGTGCCTTCTCTGAGCACAATCCTGTGATGCTTGTGGAGGTAATGATCAATTAAAAGCCAAGGGTTCTGAGAGTAATAAGACAGAGGTGAGGAATAATGAAGAAAAGGCTCATTTAGACTGACTTTGGGCTGCATCATTTAAGGGAGCAGTGATCATAGCACACAATGATGTGCCTGTTTTGAGAAAGCTCTGTAATCTAACATAATATCAAAGGCCAAAAACAATAAGATCAACATTAGGGGTTCCCTGATGCAAATTTTTTTTAATTTACGATAATTAGAAGCAAAGTTTTTCTTTCACCATTTTTTATATCGGAGATTTTAGATGCAAATTCCAACATTTGGCTGTTTTTTTGTTGTTGTTTTTTCAAATTCCGCTGTAGGTACCAAATCTGCTCGGGGCCCTGCCCCTTCTCATGACATCATCATATGTGTTAGGTTTCTGTTCTCTGTGATGTTTTTCTTCTGAGTATCCAGTTTTGCTTTTCTCCTTGTTTCTTAGTTTTTATGGTTTAATTCTTAGTTTTTTGTGTTCCTTGTCTTTTTCCTAGTTACTGTTTCTGTCTTGGTTCTGTTATGTTTTCTTTTGAGTGTTTAGTTTTACTTTTCTCCATATTTTATAGTCTTAGTGGTTTAATCATTTTTTTGTTGTATTTTCTAGTTATTTCCAGTCTCCTAGGTTTTTCATTTGTTGCCCTCTGCTGCCCTCTTGTGTTCTCCTTTTTCCTTAGCTCCTCTTTTGTTTCTGCCTCTGTCCTCACCTGTTTCCTATCTGCTCATTACCCCCCGCTTTGTCTCTGTCTCCTTTAAAAGCTCTCTCTCTGTTTACTTCCTCTTTGCTGGGTCCTCGTCTAACTTCGTCTTACATGCTCCAATTTCATCTCTCTGAGCCTTCCTCCTTGAGTTTTGATTCCCTGATGTCTCCATGATTTCCTGGTTTGTTTTCTACTTATTTTTTCATGTTTTGAATTTTGAATTTAGGACTCCTGGTTTCTTGTTTTCTTTTTGGACTTTGTTTTCATTTTTGGATTTTGGATTCTTGGTTGCCTGTTTGTTTGGGCTTTGTTTTTTCAGTTACTCTTCATTACATCAACCATAAATTCAACTCTGCCTACCTGCCTCTGCTTTTGGGTCCTCAACCCACAGACAAATCCTAACAATATGGCAACTCCATTCTGACAAACTGTATTGCAACCGTTTCTTAAGGATCAAATCTCTTTTGGAGTCTCAACAAATTATTACCTTTATTTGCTATTATTTTACATTTCATCGGCGATCTAAAGTAGCCCAAACTATAAAACAATCATTGTCAGTCTTGAAGGAAAGTACTGCCTTCTAAGACAGACTGAGCTCTGCCATTTAACAAGGTGACGAAACAAGTCTCAGCTGACACGAAGTTAAAAGTAGTGTAGATTAACATGGCTAACTGACTGAGCTAAAAGAGGCTAACCTGTTAGCTACTGAGCACAGCTAGCCACAGCGCTACCCAGCTCTCCCCCTTTATATCATGGTCTAACAGTTACTTTGTTCACTTTTAACAGATTTTTCCCAGTTTTGTTATTAATCAGGTCATTAGACACGCCAACGCTACAGATTCTTCCAACTTGGCACATGGATGCTGCATGATGTGATTATCGTTGTCTGGGCAACCGTAATGTTTTACATCATGTGGCAACGTTCAGCCAATCATGTAGCGTAACGTCACTGGCATGAAGCAGAACCCGAGCAGATCTGGTACCTACCTTGGATCGATTTCCAATATAAATATCAGTTTGGAACATCCTTCCTCAACATAGGGATGGTAGCCAAAAGTAGTACTCAAGTAATAATAACTCTACTTTAACATAGCTTTACTGCAGTAATCCGTCCTGGTGCTTCGTATGTACAGGGCAAATTTAAAAGTGTTAGTTCAAATCATAGGGAGGCTAACAAAACGAAACATTTATAAAGTGTCTATAATGATCCAAATTAGATTGAATTTTAATAAGACTGGAAAAGTTGGAACAACGCTCTCAATAGTTTCAATTCATCTAACACTAGTGTCAAAAGTAAACACCACAGACTAATGTGTAGGGCAGTGGTGTCCGGTGTAGGAGCTTGCCCTGAAAATCAAAGGGCTGAGGGTTTAAACCCCGGCCCTGGCTTTCAGTGTCGTTGTGTTCTTGGGCAAGAAGCTTAACCTGCATTGTCTACTGATGGTCAGAGGGTCCGGTGGCGCCAGTGTATGGCAGCCTTGCTTCTGTCTGTGTTAGTGAATAAAGTCCCAGTAAAAAAACTAACACAGAAGTCTGTGATGAATTGGTGCCAGTGTTTCACATTGGGCTCCAGTATATCTTAAGGTAGAGCAAGTGTGTCAAAATGTCTCATGCATCACCTTCCTGCAGGTACATCACAGCCTGGGCGTAGTTCTGCAGGGCATGATGTGTCCTCCCCAGGCTTCCGTAGGCCAGAGTTTTGGCCATCAGATCGTTGGTCTGCGCCGCCACGCTGAGATGCTGTTCCTGAAACACCACGGCCCGCTCGTAGTTTCCCAGAGCCTCGTAGGTCAGACCCAGGTTTCCATAGGCTCGGCCCTGGCTCCTCACGCAGCCCGTCTGCTCAGCGATGCTCAGCGCCCTCTGGTGCCACTGCAGCAGGACAGCACTTTAATCACTAACTGAGGATTCTATGTCAGCTCAGCTATCTTCCAAATCCTAACCTTTTTTTTACTTTTTGTGCTGAGTTTAAAGAAAAATAAAAAAACAGCACAAACCTGCAGAGCAGTTTCGTTGTCTGCCATCAGCTGATAAACGCCTCCCAGGGCATCGCTTGCCTCTGCCTCCAGGGATTTATCCTGCCAGATAATACAGGGATTATTGCATTTACTATCTACAATATACATTTTATAAATCTTATTTCCTGCAAGGATGACAAACTGGCAGCCTTCCACTGAGGGGGACCTTACCCCTGCTGAGCGAGCGATGCTCAGCTGATGCTCCAGACAGGAGAGAGCCTGCTCATAGTTACCCAGCTGGCTGTGTATGGTGCCCAGCTCCCCATAAGCCTGAGCTTTACCCCCTCCTTCACCGCCGAGCTCATGAGCTACCACCAACCGCTTCTCAAAGCACACCAGTGCCTGCTGCAGACTGCCCATGGACCTGCAGATGAAGGGAAAACAGATTGTTTCGATATTGCTTCTGCACTTTTAAAAGCAGGCAGCGTGATCTGCTTTTGATACATCCAGAGAGGCTGAGCTTCAGATAAATCAGAGCCTTCCTATCTACTCATTTTAACATCTTATTCACACCCAGGAGAGCAGAAACAACAGATGGATAAAAGCAACTCCTCATTAAGCCTTCTGTCAGGGAACATTACTCATGTAGTACTACATGGCAGCACCCCTCTTAGAGGATTTGTTTGAAGGTACTTCTCATTACCAAACCGGGATTAGGGAGAACAATATAATTGCTTTACATTTCAAATAAAAAAAGTTTGGTATATTTAGTTGTTGTTTAACCAAGAATAAAGAAATAAAAGTACTAGGATTGGATCTGGGCCAATCTGAATAGGAGAAATATAACTTTCTTAATCAAAGGTAATAACTAATAGTTTAACTGCTCCCGGTCAGTAGGTGCATTTCAATCCATTTTTCTAATGTGCATTTTGAAGAATTGCATCAGAAAAGCCTGATGGAAAAGACAAAATTTTAAGAAAAGTCCTCAAAAAAAGTTTCTATGCTAGCTTTATGTGTTTTTTGGCTTTTGCAAGAAAAAGGGTTAACATGCAAAATGGTAGACATCATATCTGATGTAGCAGATTTTTAGCTAACATGACTGATCTGCTGTTTCTGCTGTCCCCACCTCCCTGATCTTCCTATTATGTGCATAAACATGACCGGAAGAAGAGGGGATTAACCATTAGGCAAAACTAGGCAGTTGCCTTGGGCCCCAAAGTCCTGGGGGCCCCATAAAACTCCTTTTACTGCAGATTAATCTGTCTGCATTTGTTGATTTATCTGCAGTAAAAAGAGTTTTATGGCCCCATAAAACTCCTTTTAAATGTATGGTTTACACAGTTATTCCTTATTTGTGCATATTAATTATGTTTTTAATAAAAATCCTTTCATTAAAATTCCATCATAATGCTTATAATATCAAGTGTCTCCTCCCTTCACTGTCCCCCACGTTGGATCAGTCCATTTCCTGCACATGTGCAGATTGGTCCAAACAGACAGCAGCAAATAAACAGTGCGAAGAGCAGTGTTGCCAACTTAGAACTTTTGTCGCTATATTATATATAGCGACTTTTCAGACTCCTCTAGAACTTTGATTTCGAAAAAGTGCCTTGCGCCAAATATAGCAACTTTCTTTTGGTACTGGAGACTTTGGTGACAACATCTAAAAGCATCGAACTCTGCTCTCCAGAGCAAATAGATTAGTAACCCCGCCTCCTGCTCTCCTCTATCTTGTCTGTTGTCATGATTCATGCAGCTATTATTTCATCCAAATGAAAAATGGAGAACAGACTGGGTTATTTACTTTTGGAGTTGCCTTTTTGGAAACACAGGAAGGAGCAATCAGCTAAGTTAGAATGGGCTTAGTGATTAGAAAATCTTTGATTTCTTTTCAGACAGCATGAAAAGTCAGCCGAGCACATTGCCAATATGAAAAAAGGGACAAAAGAAAACATAGAGGAAAACAGCAAGAAAAGGGATAAGCAGTGACAGGATAAACCTAGAACAAAAATGTGTACCTATTCTATAAAAATATCTGCATGTGTATAATGGGTCTGTTTTATGTTTTGTTTTCTCAATTCAGAGGGAACCCTGCCTGTATTTGCTGAGGGCCCCAAATTTCCTAAATCCAACTCTGGCCGGAGGCATCAATGCTATCACTTGCTGATATTTTAACATAAAAATAACTTGCCAACCTCCACCTCCTGAGGAGGCTGAGGTCCTTTGGATTAAGCAGGCCCCTGCTTAAAAACTTCTATGAGTCTGTGGTGGCAATTAGAGACTGACATTTTTTCGGGAATCCCATGGGT